GCCTTTTCCACTCTGGGTTATTTTAATGTTCATATGAGAACACACACCGGTGAAAAACCCAACTGTTCAGTCTGTGGCATTTAGGAATACACACAAAGGGTGTGAAAAAGAATGAATACAAAGTGTCCCTCTAGCTTGTACTCAACACCAAGTCAACACAATGACATTAAAGTGCCTTAATTTAACACACGCCTGCATGGTGAAGAATCTGTATTCACAAAATGAACATGTGTACTGTGCCTCGGTTGAAGGGAACCCCATACATTCGGAGTGGTACCACCGACCACATAGACCACATGCAATCTGCAAAGATGGCAAGGCAAGCCAAGTTTATTTATATAGCACAATTCATACACAAGGCAATTCAAAGTGCTGAACAAAACAAGAAAGCATTAAAATCATAAATTATCACAGAACATTAAAAAAAAAAGATAAAAATATAAAATCCCTCAGTTGTAGCACAGCTAAACAGAACCGTCTTTAACCTGGTTTTAAACATTGTCAGAGAGGAGGCCTGTCTCACATCTTCAGGAAGACTGTTCCAGATTTTAGCAGCATGAATCTGAAAAGCAGCCTCCCCATGTTTAGTTCTGACTCTGGGCACTAACAGGAGTCCAGTCCCTGTGCTCCTCAGAGTCCCAGCAGGAGTCCAGTCCCTGTGCTCCTCAGAGTCCCAGCAGGAGTCCAGTCCCTGTGCTCCTCAGAGTCCCAGCAGGAGTCCAGTCCCTGTGCTCCTCAGAGTCCCAGCAGGAGGCCAGTCCCTGTGCTCCTCAGAGTCCCAGCAGGAGTCCAGTCCCTGTGCTCCTCAGAGTCCGGGCTGGTTCATATGGGACTAACATGTCACTAATATATTTTGGTGCGAGGCCATGGAGAGACTAAAACAGCTCTGCTTGTTACAAAAGTCTATTCTCTGAGCCACAGGAAGCCAGTGCAGAGACCTGAGAACTGGACTAATATGGTCGTACTTCCTGGTTCTAGTCAGGACTAATGCGGTCGTACTTCCTGGTTCTAGTCAGGACTAATATGGTCGTACTTCCTGGTTCTAGTCAGGACTAATGTGGTCGTACTTCCTGGTTCTAGTCAGGACTAATATGGTCGTACTTCCTGGTTCTAGTCAGGACTAATGTGGTCGTACTTCCTGGTTCTAGTCAGGACTGGAGCTGCTGCATTTTGAATGTACTGCAGCTGTTTTACAGCCTGTTTGGACAGACCTGTGAGCAGGCCATTGCAGTAGTCTAACCTACTGGAGACAAATGCATGGATAAGAATCTCCAAGTCTGCTTTAGACACTATGTTTTTGATCCTGGCAATGTTTTTTAGATGGTAAAAAGCTGCTGATGTTACTGATTTGATGTGGCTATTAAAATGTAAGTCTGAGTCCAGTATTACCCCTAGATTTCTGACCTTGTTTGAAGGTTTTAGGGAGAGAGACTGTAGATGACTGATGACGCTCTCTCTTTGTTTCTGGACCAAAGACAATCATTTCAGTTTTGTCTACGTTTAGCTGAAGGAAGTTGTTTTGCATCCACTCACTGATCTGTTGGATACAGTGAAGGAGTGAGTCCACTGGTCCAGATGGATGTTAGTGTTCAGTCAACTTTTATGCCATCATAAAAAACTTACCCATGGATCCCTATCAGGGCCACTATCATCCTCATTTCCCTCCTCCCTCCCTGAGCAGCGGAACCTGCAGTAACAAAAATCAGATCCTGAAATACAAAAAGTTATTTGCAAAGTTTACACAAAGCTTACAGTTGGTCACCTCACTTTGGTACCAGTGTTTGGGAGCAGGGTTCGTTCCCAGCAGCATCCGCCTGGAACTTGACCTCCTCCTTCAGAAGGATCTGCTCAGCTAATGTCAACAAATACATACCTAGCAAACAAATACACCACATGAGGTGCGTCACTCTGTCGGGGGTGGTCTATGGTGGAACACGGCCAGGTGCTCAGTTCCAGTGAAGGCCTTCACCTCTGCACCAGCTCCCTGCAAACAGATTCACTCACTTACAAAGGCCACAGTGGGATTGAAGTTTCAGAAAATCTTACAAACCTGGTTACACTGCGGCACTTTTCCACCCCCCCGGTCTGGCACCAGATGGGTTTGGTGCAGCACCCTCTTTTCCTTCACATACATGATCTGCAGGAGGATGGGAGAGTGTTTTTTTACGATACAATAAATTAAGAACCTGAGAATTCTGACTCTGAGGGAAACTATAGCTAGAAGCTCCGAGCTTGTGCCTATATTTAACCTGCCCACAACGGTCCAGTGGTGGCTTGTGCAGACTGCACCACATGCGACAGGATGTTTGAAGAGTCCTCGCTCTAAAATGAATACTAAACAACACAAACATTTCGATAGATTAACCACCATTTCAAATCAAGCTTTGGATTGCCTACCTTCTTAACATTAAGTAAGTAAAAAAGTATTTATATAGCGCCTTTCTCAGACCAGGGACACAAAGCGCTTCACATTAAAAGCAAGATCAATACATACAGAGTAAAAAACTATACAGTAAAACAAGTTGTACAAAGTACATAAACATCAAGATCTAAAAGGCCTGTCTAAATAAGTGCGTCTTGAGCTGACTCTTAAAGATATCCACAGACTCCAGGACACGCAGGGACAGCTCATTGCACAGGCAAAGAAACAGATGAAAATAAGTAGATACAAAATGAGCAACAGCGACTTTACCTCATACTCCTCTGGAATTCCAGACGGGGCTGGCCTCCCTCCCAAATAAAAGAAAACACGAACTATGCCGTGTGATCAGCTGCTTTTTGGTCCTCATAGCAAACATGGTGGGCTGGAGGTTTTCCTCCCATGTATTTGGATGGTCCCCCACCATTTTATTAAGGCACCCCAGTACAAAACAGATAATTGCGTTATTAGTCTCATAATCATAAATTCATGTTTCTTCATGAATTTAAGTGCAAAGCATTAAGGTTTTCTCTTCCTGCTCTCCTCGAGGTCAGACGTGTCTCTCCTGCTCTGCTTGCCCTGATTGTCTTTTTTCCTAGACTTCTGCCTGTATACAACTTGAAAAAATGATGGAATTAATCAACTGGTCCCTCAACGCAATTGATACTATTTTTTCATCACGTAAAGGCGGTTCTGGAGATGCCGTTTGCCCGGATGGTACGGCGGCTGCTGGGTACGTTTTTGACAACTGGCAAAAGTGGCACCCGTTTGTCTGTCGGGACTGTCCATCGAGGACATTGAGGATATATACATTTTTGGATTTATGGTAGCAGGGTTCCTCCTGATTGGATTTGGAGTTGGCTTGATCTACCGCAAAGTTGGAGGGCTGTCCACTCAGAAGATTTACGAGCGGCTGTCCGCGGAAAACAAGGAGAGTTTCCGCGAGTTGGTCAGAGTCGTGGTCGAGGGCACAGTGGGGACACAACGGGGGGTGAGTCGGATCGAACATTCCCTTAACGACCTGGGAGTGAGATCTTTGGATGGACTTAAACGCGTGGAAGGATTGATTGAAGGACTTGGGCCTCACGGTGGAACCTCGTACTGACGTGGTCAACTAATACCGTTCACCGGATAACGGTGAACGGAGGGTCCAGTTCCAGTATAATTTGGACATATTAGCTTTAGTTTACACTGCCTTTCATTGATCAGCTAAAAGTGCTTATACACATTTCCCACAAGGGCATGTGTTGTTTTGTCTCCAATGTTTGCAGGCACCTGCGCTATCTTTGTCCTTCACATTCCACCACCACACACGGCCACTCAAGGCTGACACTGGACTCTTATCTATCTCAGACTCACAACTCAGAACACCAGTTACAGTCCCCCCCCCTACATGTCTGCCTCTCTCTCTTTTTCAGTCTATGGTGGTCTTCCCCTCCACCTCCCCCACCCACACTCCCCTCTGACGCGCTATATTGGACGAGGCGGGCCAGAGTGATGACTTCCCATTAAAAAGATCCGCATGTTTTTCCACATGTACCGTGTCTCTCCCCATGTTTGTTGAAATATATGTCTGTTTTGCTCTATGCTGTTGAATAACTGTTATTCTACTGTTTGTCGCATGGCGCCGTAAAAATGGCGCCGTGGCAAGAGCTCTGGTGTGTGTCGTCTTCTGGTGCACACCGGGGTAGTCTTGCACAGTTTTCCAATGTGGTTTTACTGCAAATGGCAAATAAATGAATCTGAATCTGAGGCACTGATACAACTTACTGTACAAATGTGTCTAAGTAAAGAAATAAGATTCCTCACCTTTGGTGACCACTGGTGGTCGTAGGGGGAGCACATACTGCGCTTCACCAATAGTTTTCAGCAAACTGCTGCATTCAACTGAAATCACATGCAATTATGACACAATGCTGAACACAAACAAGCTTATTCCTCCCTAGGCCTACCTTATTAATACATTCAGTGCCACGGTCTGTGAGGATCCTCTCTGAAACAATAAAAGAACTCCCAAAAGAAGAGATACTGTAGTCGATCATGAGACAAATGTACTAGTATCCTCGGAGAGTCGGGGTCATGCAAGAACTGCCAAAGGAATTGGATTCATTACCTCAGTGTGTCGGTGTTGTACTTTGGCCTTCAAGTTTGCTCTCCTCTTATGGCACTGCTTCACCTTTTATCAGTAATAGTAATATAAGAAATCCTTATCAATATTTTACATAATTGATGACAATGCCACAAAGTGCATTATATTGAGCGTGTATCAGTTGGCGCACACTTACCCATGTCTGACTGTCCCTCTCCATTTAAGGCCAGTAATAACGGTCGATAATGGCACGGTGGGTTTTCTCCAGCCACAGTGGCCTCCAGTAGGGCTGGCATGGAATACCATAAATATGTTTGCCTCTTTGAGCGAGCCAACCACCTTGGCAAAGTGTGCATCCCCCTCCTCCGTCTGCACAGTGCAGTGCCCCGTATGGTGCACACAAACATTGCCTACTCCCCACATTTTAAAGATTTTTGAAACCCACCTTTCATTTTGTAGTTCCTTGGCCGTCGTCTGATTGTAGACTTGAGAATGTCAGACGCAGAAGCGGGTAGGCGTCCATGTACCAAAAACTCCAAGTTGATCAAACTTGGTACGTTCCATACTAAGTAAGTAACGTTTATTTGTATTGACCCAGTGCATGTGACGCCACGGCCCCTCACCGTCACAGACGGCGGAAGTATCACTAACTGCTGTTCATTTTACCGCGAACATCGGAAACTTGACCGTTTTACTACATAAGAGCCAACATGGTAATATCGTGCAGTGCGGTAGGGTGTACGAACAGGCAAGGACAAAAGCCAAATGTTTCCTTCTACCTGAGTCCTGCTCGTGATGAAGATAGAAGACGGCGATGGCTGGCGGCAATCAACCGCAAAGACTGGGAGCCATCCAAGTACTCCCGTATTTGCAGTGAACACTTTTTACAAGGTAAATAAATTACGATTTTGTATTTATTGTCTTTCCATTCATGCTTTTGGAGGACAATGAACGGTTGTTGCTGTAGCTCACTATTTTCCTCTCCATTAATATGTAGCTAGCATGTTTAGCTGTTGCCAGAAAAGTGAACATTTGCTAATGCGCTAATGATACCAGCAGCATTTACGTATGATGTGTGGTTACATCTACACAGTGTGTGTGTAAATCACTACTTTGTTGTAAAAAAGGAACCCATGTCTCTTTTCCAGGACAGAAGAGTGATGATCCCCTGTCACCTGATTATGTACCTTCAGTTTTTGCACATACAAAGTCCCCTGCAAAAAGACGTGCTGTGCAAAGCCTTGAGAAGTTCAAGGTGAGACAGAACCTGAAGAAGAAGAAACTCCTGCAGTCTTCAAGAAGCGAGGCGGCTATGGCACTCCTGGACTTCTCATCAGAGAAGAGCGAGATGACCACTCAGCTCACTGAGAATGACATGCCTGAAGGTGAAGCAATGTCCTCAAAACATATAGAGTCGTTACCACTGGAGTGTCAGATGCTTCGAAAGGAAACATTTGAACTTAAACAGAGGCTACATGTTAACATCTTTGAACAGAATGGCTTGAAAAACAAGGACAAGCTGAAGTCACTGACTGGACTACACAGCTATGAAGTATTCATGGCAGTGTTCAACCTTGTTAGTCCAGCTCTCAAAGACACTACAAATTTGACAAGTTTCCAACAGCTACTAATTACATTAATGAAAGTCAAACTCAATATACCAAATTCATTTTTATCATATCTCTTTGAAGTTCACTCCTCAACTATTTCCAGCGTCTTTTCAGATGTCATACATATCCTCAATGATATATTAGTTCCTTTGTGTGTAATATGGCCCCAGAGAGAACATGTTAAAGTGTCCATGCCCATGTGTTTTAGAAAGTCTTTTCAGCATTGCATGGCGGTCATTGATTGTTTTGAGATATTCATGGATAAAACCGAAGGATTTGAAGGCAAGGGCTCAGACATATTCACAGTATAAATCCCACAACACAATTAAATACCTTGTTAGTATCACTCCACAAGGCACAATCTCCTTCATCTCAAGGGGCTGGGGTGGTCGAACAACAGATGCATACATCAGAGAGCACAGTGCCCCTCAGTTGTGCCAATCAATGAATGTAAAATACATGTTATCTAATTTCTCTTTGTCGTCAGTACCATCTATTTAAGTTGTGTTTTTCTGTTTAACTGGGTAAATGACAACCCTGACCAATGTGATTGTATGGTAATGTGATGCGAAAGTATGTAAAAATAAACATTTCATATTGGCAACTATAACTTTAAGCTTCTTTATTACATTTACTTTGAATTAAGCATGACAAATGGGTCTACAAATAAATGAGCCACAATAAAACATTAGGCCTTGTTTAAATGATTGAGTAGAAAGCAAAAACAATCAGGCCACATTACTCTTCACTGTCTTCCAGTGTGTTGGAGTTAAGCCTTTTATCTGACTCTGGTTGTGGGCAAAGGCATGTATATTTCTTGGCCAATAGCTCTGGAAGAATAGCGGACCTAAACATCTGTTCTACTTTGGGTACTGTTTCTCTCATCAAGGCAGCATCGGGTAAGATCCTCTGTATAAAATAATCTGATTCAGACCACACCATGAAGTCACAGTATTTTCGCTCTGTCACAAACATCTGAGCTGGCACCTGGTAAAAGTATGCATGATCTTGGCTAAGAGAACAACAACCATTTGTATTTCTAATATAAAAATGTGGATTGTCTGTGGCACTGAGGACTCCAGTATTAGCACTGTGTGGGCATTTTATCTCTAACACACCATTGCCGCAGCAGCTACAGGACAACAAGGCATCTGGAGATGCTCCGAGGTAGGGCCAGCTGGGGTGGATGTGCAGACCAGAGTCACAGACTTGCAGGTCCTGATGCTGTGATGAGGCCCAGGCTTCATATGTCTGCCTGTCTTTTCTTGTTGACATCCCCATCTGAAAGATAGACCATACATAATGTCAATATCAGTTGCATATTGAGCAGAGTTAATGAGGATCTAACATTAACATGTTCAATTCTAACATGTTTCACACTTCTATATTTTTGCACAATCTGAGTAATTATATCTATGCCAAATGTGACATGTACATTTCTCCATTGTGAGATCAATAAAGTTGATCTTGTCTTAAGATTCTTTCTGTTCTGATAAACATGTATTTGTGAAACAATAACTACTATGTACTCCGGCTTTAACATAATAAACAACATCTGTGTGTTTGAGTCACACATGCCTTGTAGCAGCAGTAGAAACACCACACTGGCTTGGGTATGGATGGGTATGGATGGATTAGATGGATCTGTTCTTGCTGCTGACTTGAATCTTGAGGCTGTCACTCTACCAGCCCTCATGTTAAACCATAGCTTTGACTGTCCCTGTTGTCGTGTCTCTTCCTCAACATGTACTGCCTACAACATTTAATATGCAAAAAGATAAATCCTATATTATGATACAATCAATCAATAGGCTTAATCGATTCATCTGTACCTGTTCGGGTGTGACCTCTATGTTGATGAAAGCATCATCACATTTCACCATTAGGTCAGAAGCACATAGCTTACGGTGATTAGGGTTGTACAACTCTGTTAGGGGCTGTGGAAGGCTTAAAGATAACACTCTGGGTTGGAACTGCTCACAGAACTTTGGTAGCACACTCAGGAGACCACACTTCTCTGAAGGACTTTGGGATGCTCTATCCAGATGTTTGTAGAACTTTGCTATGGCACCTTCAGACACTCGCTGTATGTTTCTGTTTTGATGTTTTTTTCTTTGATATTCCAGCTTGCTTTTTGGACGGATTTGTGAAGTAAATTCTTAACCCTTCTTCATAGAGTGCTTTGCCTGCTTTCAGTGGAAGATGCCCCCATTGTCTTGGCCCATCAGTGCAACTTCGATCTTGAAGGAATTTTACTGCAGACTCAAGGGCATAGAGCAAGGCTGTCCCAGGCCTGCTTTACATGTGCAGTGGCCACACAACACTGTACTGTCCTTCTGAAGAGACACCCAGGGCTTTAGAGGAGGTTCAGACAGTGCTTGGCTGTGGTGAACCTGAAATCACATGATATAACATGTATAAAAAGGGAATAGGTATTATTTACACAATAGGTCATCATTTTGAAAGTACTATCTACTATGACCATCTAGCTCCAATCTAAATGTAACTAAAGGGGGCATTGATCCATGTTTCTATGTGTGAAAAGCTATGTATTGTACTTGCACAACATTGCATTTTCATCACAACAATAATATAACCTTTTATCTATTGTAATAGTTCTGTGTTGTCGGTTTACTACCACAGGGGGGCGCTCTGGTTATGGTAGAGCTTTTCAGGGGTGGGAGATTTTCCCCACGAGTTGACACGACGGTAGTGTGTGTTGTAAGTTTCTGAGTTAAGCATGAGCTGTGGCTAACAGCAGCTTGTTCTGTCAGCTTGTCAATAAAAACATCTTGAAAAGCACTGTTCAAGCATTTCTTACCTGGGAGTATTACACTATGAATAACTGGTCCTGTAGTTGTACACATTATAATAAGCCAGTGACAGTATCCCAGAACAAATATCTACATGATACACAATACACTTAGTCATAATTGTATGAATTTACACATGATAAATGATACCATAATGCAATCGAAATTACTTACCTTTGCCATTATGATGGCAACGAGCCCCAGTGACCCAGCCAGCAACAAAAAACTGGTATGCATCCAGGCTCTTGTACGCTTTTAAATCTGATCCAGTGAAAGGAGATACATTGTTCACTACGTAATGGTACAGATCATGCGGGGAGAATTCGGGCAATGTTGTGCATTTAACTAAATCTACAAAATTGACTGGGGGGAGAAGGTACGGGTCAACTTCCAGTTCGGCGATCCGTAACTTCTCCAAATACCGCGCTTTATGGGCCCCGACGAGATGTCCTACTTCCGTCGATAACTTCATCGAACATTCAGCCATTTCTCAATTTTCGACAGGAGTCTCAATGTTTAGGAGTTAGTCTTTTTTTCTCTCACCGCCATGCTAGCTTCCACTACTTCCGCCGTCAGCTCATGCACGGTCACGTGACTTTATGACGTCGGTGCATCTGGTCAATAGCGCCTTTCACAGACCAGGATCACAAAGTGCTTCACAATTAAAACACAATAAAATTACACATTTCAGATTAAAAAAACAAAGACACAGAAGACGGTCCTCATCATAAACACAGTCCAGAGGTCTATGTGCAGCGAGGCGAGAAACCCTGTCTGAACAAATGGGTCTTAAGTTGGGACAAAAAAAATCATTAAGTCTCTAAGATGCACAAAAACTGTGGAAGCTCATTCCAAAGGTGAGGAGCAACGACCTGGATCTGTCTCCTCTGGTTTTAAAAGGAGTGCGGGGGACCATCAACAGGTTCTGAGTGGGGGACCATCAACAGGTTCTGAGTGGAGGACCATCAACAGGTTCTGAGTGGGGGACCCTCAACAGGTTCTGAGTGGGGGACCATCAACAGGTTCTGAGTGGAGGACCATCAACAGGTTCTGAGTGGAGTAATATCTGAACTCTGAACATTGTAAAGCGCTTTGGGTGACCTTGGTCTGTAAAATGCGCTATGCAAATAAACATTACTTACTAACTTACATGTGTCAGAGACCATGTGTCTGACTCGAGACCATGTGTCTGAGCTTGGAGATGTTGCACAAGTGGAAGTTACAGTTTCGGATCAGCTGTTTGGTCGTTCTAGGGACATCCCTTTATCAAAGGCGACTCCAAGGTTCCTCAGACTCTTCTTCACTGAGCTGCTTTGGACACCAAGGTGCTGAGTCATGTTAGCTCACCAAGGCGCTGAGTCATGTTAGCTCACCAAGGCGCTGAGTCATGTTAGCTCACCAAGGCGCTGAGTCATGTTAGCTCACCAAGGCGCTGAGTCATGTTAGCTCACCAAGGCGCTGAGTCATGAGAGGCACAATACTGTCCGGGGCTATAACTAAGGTTTCTATTTCACCAGAGTTCAGCTGGAGGCTATTGTCACTAATATCTTTATCGAAGGAACTCCTGGGAAGTGAGGGCGAAGGTGACGGGGTGGAAAAGTGTTCCTGTAGCTGCGCCAGTCATTGAAGCGGCGCTCCATACACGCTTTAATATCAAAAAGAGAGCTGCGGTCATAAGTCCGTAGAGTCACGGCACCGCTGGCCATCAGAGCAGACAGGATGGCGGAGCATGTTAGGAATAAACCAGGAAAACACCATCGTAGCTGACGAGCAGAGGCACAACCAAACATAGGCGCCATCTTGTTTCCATCTTGTATACTAATAAACAAAAACTAGCTCTCTGGCTCAATCTAATGAACAAAAACTAGCTCTATCTCTGGCTCAATCTAAATTTACTATCGCTAAACTGCTTACTCTATAGGAAATACCGTGATCTCAAGTGGATGGGAGAATGATCAATATCTGTCGTGGTCTTTTATAATCTAACATACTAACACCTGGATCTAATCATGGCCTGCAGGAGGACCGGTGAGGGGCTGGTGCTCTGTGATCCACTTGATTGGGGATTATAGGATGAAAGTTGTCCGTCCAGTCTTTCAGATTTCACATAGTCATAGTACACAATATTCTGTGGGTCTTCAAAATCAGTGCAAATCCTCACAAACAGCTGGTAGGCAATGTGTTTAGGGGAGGATCTACATTGACACACGAAGAGGATCTGGAGCCGCGTCAGCATCACCAAACCATCACTAAACCATCACCAAACCATCACCAAACACAGATCTATGTTTGTGTGTGTGTGTTTGAAATGTCAGTGAGGGACGAGGCACAGGAAGCAGAGGGTGCACCATTCTATTGTCAATGCTATTGCTTCAGTAGCACCTTTTGGAGACATTTCAAAGATGTAGCGGGGTGCGTGCACACGGTCACGCAGGTGGATCCAGCCCACTCTACAAACACAATGTAACACAATATGTTTGACCGTCTGCTGTCGTCTTTCAGTGACGACCTCTTTCTGCTCTTGTGTTTTAAACACACGTTCGTCCTGTCAGCTTCATACTCTGTATTAGTCACATTATTGCTCATTCATACAAACCAAATGCCCATTTCCTGGTGTGCACGTACAGCATTAATTCCACATGTGATTTCTGTTTCTACATCAACATTTCTTATGACTGTAGTCTATGAGAACATTGTGTGCAGAACAAGATGGCGCCTCGTACGGTCGACATGGCTCTTTGCTGCTCTCTTTTTCTTTTGTTTTTACTTTTTAACTGTGCATCTGGCTGTTCCTACACCCGTGAGGAACTTATGAACATCCGACCCACCGTTCCCATGGACCTATTGCCTGTTTTCTTGGCATCTGCGGCTGATTTAGTTCATGTTCTAGCCAAAAAAGTGTGGGCCCGTAAAAGGGGAAAGCGAGGAGGCCTGCTCGTGCGTCTTAGGAGGAGAGGAGCGCGCACGGCTCTCCCCGGCATTTTTCTCTCCAACGTACGCTCAATGGGCAATAAGATGGACGAACTCAGCCTGCTCATGAGAAGAAACAAGGACTTCGCCACATCCTGTGTCCTCTGCTTCACTGAGACCTGGCTAAATGAGCGGATCCCGGACTGCGCTCTGGAGCTGCAGGGCTTTGGGCTGTTCCACACGGATCGCCATTGTGCGCTCTCAGGGAAGAGCAGAGGCGGAGGGCTCTGTTTCTACGTCAATACAAACTGGTGTAACGATGTGACAGTGATCTCCAAGCACTGCTCTCCTGCTCTGGAATATCTTTTCATTCATTGTAAACCATATTACTCCCCGCGGGAAATTGTTTCATTCATTCTTGCCTCTGTTTACATACCGCCATGCGCGGACGCAGAGCAAGTACTGTGTATGGAACGTTTATACCCGGACTCTCTGATTATTATCCTGGGGGATTTTAATAAGGGAAACTTGAGCCAGGAATTACCCAAATACAGACAGTTTATCAAATGCCCGACCAGAGAGGAGAACACTCTGGATCACTGTTACACCACCGTGCGCGGAGCTTTTCGCGCTGTTCCCAAGCCAGCCCTCGGCTTCTCAGATCACTCCATGATACATCTGGTTCCTGCTTACAGACAGAGACTAAAGCTCTCGAAACCTGCAGTGAGGAGCTCCAAAGTGTGGTCTGATGAAGCTGTGGAAGAGCTGCATGCATGGAATCTACAGACTGGGACCTTTTCAGAGCTGCCACAGACAGCTTGGATGAATATACGGACACTGTGACGTCATACATTCACTTCTGTGAGGATAGCATCATTCCAACAAGGACCAGGGTCATCTATAACAACGACAAACCCTGGTTCACTGCTAAACTCCGGCAGCTCAGGAAAGCAAAGGACTCTGCTTTCAGGGAGGGGGACCGCAGCGGCTACAAAGCAGCTAAATATCAGTTCAGGAAAGAACTGAAAGCAGCCAAGTCCCGGCACAGAGAACGACTACAGGAGCATTTGGTAACAACGATACTGCTTCTGTCTGGAGGGGCCTACGGGAGATCACCAACTACAAACCCAAAGCCCCCCCCTGTGCTGATGACCACAAGCTAGCTGACGATCTGAACTTATTTTTCAGTCGCTTTGATGCTGCCCCTGACACCTCTCCCTCCCCCACTACTCTAACGACCCACCCATCAGCCCTGCCCCCAGCCTAACAATAGCCGCTAAAGAGATTAAACAACTCTTCCTGAGGCTGCACCCCCGCAAAGCTCCTGGCCCGGACCACGTGTCTCCGGCCACTCTGAGACACTGCGCCAGTGAGCTTACTCCTGTGTTCACTGACATTTTCAACACCTCTCTGCAGTCCTGCCATGTCCCGG